TTACTTACGGGCACGTGAAAATTGTGGCGGAAAAATTCATAACTCGAGAATGAGAAAAGTTAGAAACTTGAAACTTTGGGGAGATGTTCCATACTCATGCACGACCAAAAGTTTTCAAACTCAGTTCCTTACGACCGCTAAGGACTCACGTGCGGGTACGTTGAAATTTTGGCGCGAAAATCATTAACCCGAAAGCGGGAAAAGCCAGAAAGCTGAAACTTTAAGAGAATTTTCCCTACTCACGTACGAGCAAAATCAGGTGTTTAGAAGCGCTCGAGCCCACATCGAGCGCGTAGAAATTTTGGCGCGAAAATTACTAACCCGGGGACGGGAAAAGCTAGAAAGCTGAAACTTTAAAGGAATGTTCCCCACTCATGTACGAGCAAAATCAGGTGTTAGAAGCGCCCGAGCCCACGTATGGACATGTGAAAGTTTTGGCGTGAAAACTACTAACCCGGGATCGGGAGCAGCTAAAAAGCTGAAACTTTAGGGGAGTGTTCCCTACTCATTTATGACCAAAAGATTTTAAATTCAGCTCCTTAAAATCGTTCAGTACTCACGTACGGACACGTGAAAATTTTGAAGGAAAAACTGCTAACTCAGGAACAGGAAAAGCTGAAGGCTTTAATTTTAAGGGAATGTTTCCTGCCCATGTGCGACCAAAAGATTTTAAACTTGACTTTTCTAGTGTGGCCTTTTTTTGCGGACCAGCAACTTTCCATTTGTCGGGTCACTGAAGTCGACCCTACAGCTGACATACCGCATAGTTGCGCAGTTAATTTCCCGAACTTCGGGGGGGGGGGCAGTATTTCACAGGGTTAGCAACTTTGATCCCGGCACGAAAGGTGCAAAAACGCATAATTGAAGCGGTCCGCCTGGTGCGTGCCAGCCTGGGTTTATTACGTCTTTTGACTGTGACTAGATATACATGCTTAATTGCGTGCGTTTGCAGGATTGCTGCCGTATATTAACAATATCCGCTTCTACAACGATTTAGGCCATCCCATCTGTAGAAATCTGCGTAGTGGCCTGTGGTTGCCTCATTTCCTTGCTCAAAGAATCAAACATCGCACTTTCAATCTAAGCGTATTGTCACGTTTTATTGAAGTCCTGTTCAAGCCGCTGGATGACGTCCCTTACGATTTGAGGCCCTGTTATTTTGAAGCTTTGTTTTCGCTTCTGCATGAAACCACGGTGGAGCAACTAATGAACAAACTGAATCCGTGAGTTTTCCAAAAAGCTTCATTTTCTTCATAATTGTATGTGATATTTCGATGCACTTCGTCCAGCAATCCTGG